CAAAACTGCATATAATGCAAAGCTTCATGAAATAAAAAATGAATAAAAAAAGTTTCCTCTCTCCTTCTCAACATTAATGTCTTCTGAAGAAAAAAGTATCTGTATATCAGAATTATACTGGAGTTACAGTAAATCTACCTGTACGTGCAAACTTGTTTGTCTTGTATGTTTATTCTTCCTTTTCTAGCTTATGGAAGCCTAACACACCAAGAAGATCCCCATTCTTTACAGGCAGAAAGTGATGTATCAGGACATACCAATAAACTAAATTTCTCATTTTAGCAAAGTTAACATTATTGCAGTAGATACAAACATTCTTCATGTGTCTTTTGATATACAGAATTCTTGGACTACCATAAGACTTTAGCTCATACATTGAAAACCCTTGAGGAGTTTTATGTCATGCACAAAAACTAGCAGAAAATTTAAGTAATAATAAAAGTCACCTGAGCTCTTCCCAGTAAGGGTTCTACTTCTTTGTTATGTTCAATGGCAGTTTCAAAGGACTGCAGAAAAGTAGATACTATTGGATCTACAACTTTCTTATTTGTCTTGTACTTTTCATGTATTATTTTCAACAAACCACACTTCTTCACAGTTCCTGCAAGCAATAAAACAACATCAGAACTCAAAACAAGTACAGTTCCAAACCTAGTTAAACCTTTGGTAAACACAGAAACAAAACAACTTTATGTGCTTTATTAACCAGCTTCCTGAACTCACAAAATACGAGGACAACCAAGTCATACTTTCTTGAATGGATGGCTTGGTGTGTCTACATCATGATGCTGCATCTGAAGCTCAAAGCAGCTGGTTTAGTCCACGCTTTTTAATTCAGCTTCATCTCATTCACAGCAGATTTTTTTTAAAGTAGAAGTTCCAACACTAAAAACAGGACCAAGATGTTCCACTTATGTATCATTTCACTATCTTCTGAAGTAACTTTTGAAGTGAATTCTCAGAAAAATCTAATAAATACTTTCACGTCATACAGGTAACATTATTCACGAAACTTTCACAAATGAGAACAAATGCTCACTTTTTTTACTGAAGTATTCCAACCTAACACATAATTTTGTAAATGCCTACTGTTTATGCCCCCTAGATGTACATATGGCACTTATGATGAAGTAGCTCTCCATTTATTCAGGTTGTTGACCATTACAACAAACAACCCACAATTTTCATGAGTTAAAAGTGTGAAGTCTTAAGTTAAAGATTCATAGTAGATAGTTAGTCTGTAACACTTTAAGTCCTTAAACAGCACTAACGTGATCAGTGTAGATGAAAAAAAAAACAAGATGTATTTTGAAAATCGATGTGAAACCTTATGAAGATACTCTGCCCTGAAGAAGGAATAATCTTAAGAAGGACAATTTAATACCATGACGAAAAATGATGGTCACTCAAAATTACAAAGTCTACCCATGTTTTCATGTTCAGGTATTAATCACTGCCAACAGCTCCCAGTATTTTTAAAAACACGCTAAACAGGTTTTTTTGCCATTATTCAAGTATCAACTATTGGTTACTTCCATGAAACAATACAAGCAACTAGGTGAATGTCTATATCCACACAAATGAGACACGAAAAAGCATGTGTCTGGCACTAGAAATAAAATAACCTATTTCTTAACAAAGGCCAGAGAGAACACCCACCAGCTGTGCAACAAACAAGCACATTCAAGATTTGGATCCTATCACAGCTGTCGAGGTAAAAAAACCATCACAGTAGACAGCTTCACAAACTGCTAATGCCAACACTCACCATTAAAGGCCCCACAGTAAGGACAAGTGTTTTTCTTTCGGCACTTCTCAGACACTTTCTTTTTTAGCCCTCTCTTCTGAAGGTATGTAAGGCCAGGTCGCTTTAGGTAATCCAAAAACTGCTTTTTTTCTTCCACTGACAGCATGATACGGCAACAGGTTTTGCAGATCATCTAAAATGTAAACACGTAGAAACACAGTTGTCTAACATTCAGACATGTAACCTCTTGATCTATACCTTAAGTTCTTCAACAGAATGCAGTTTTTTGAATGAGATACTACTTACTGTCTTATTGAAAGACCAATTTTCACATTGCAATATACATTAAAAAGCCCAGGAGAAAAATAAGTTACAGTAAATGAAGCAAATCCTTATCTAAGTTCTGCAGGACCTTAAAAATCCATATATAGCAAACAGAGCTTTGATTTACTGGGATGTCCTTAAAGGTAAATTATACTGCATATATTTAATTGAAATGACAGAAAAATAACATTAAATTTATCAGCCTGAGGTTGCATAAAACAAAATGGATATATTTACATCACTAAGACTGGTATTTAAATAAATTCGTTTTGCAAAAGAAAACAAATTAATAATGCAATGTTATTTTGGCCTTCTCAATTAACTTTCAGACGTCATCTTTCCTGAATTTTTCCTTTTTTCTAGACTAAAAACTGACAACAAATCATAATCATGTTTACCTGTAAGATGCCTATCACAGCTTTGAAGTATCCAACATGAAAACATGGCAGCTCTAAGTCAATGTACCCATAATGTCCTAAACAATCAGCTAGACTTTTTCCACAGGTTTCACAGGGACGGTCTTTTTCACTGGTTCCCTTTGGGAGAAAGAGAATGCACACATAAAGAAAGAAAAATCTGCTGTAATTGACTGAATAGATACAAAATACAACAGCTTTTAAGCTAGTCAGGTATTCTAACAGCAGACCCACTCCTTTTCCCCAGCATCAGAAGCACATCAGTAGCATTATATTCACTCCAACCCTTAAGAAAAACAGCCCCTACTGACACCAATAACATGGACTTACACAGCTCTTGAAAGTGACCCACAGCCCATTCATCTACATTATGGCATTTTGTTCCTGTTGATATGGCATGATGTTGATGGATGTCTCCGGGTCTCCCAACAACTTGGCAGAAAGAACTTACCTCCTGCCTCAAAAGAACGCATTCCTGAACCCCCCAAAAGCATGAATAAAGTAGTTGCCACTACAGCTAACAGTCTATGAAATTCAGGTAAAGACTCATTTTTGTGTTTTTTGGATAAGCAGTACATTTCAGTGACTCCAACTTTTTTTAACCACTTGGGTAGTTCCACAAAAAGAGTCTGGGAAAAACAAATGGTTCTCACCATGCGATGGTCCAGCACTCCATATTGCAGTGGAGAGTGATGATTGTCCTGACTATACAAGTTTTTGCTGACCACTTGAATGTGAGCTTGCTGACGCATCTCTTCTGGAGATTTCATGCCAAAGCAGATGTGGCTTCTAGGATGGAAAATTCCACATGTATGTATGGGCACGCATACACGTATACAGAAACACTTCTAATGACAAGCACACACCTCCCTAAGCGTCATAGAATCAATTAGTTTGGAGAAGACCCCTGAGATCATTGAGTCCAACCTATGACTGAACACCACTCTGTCAGCTAGACCACGGCTCTAAGTGCTACTTCCAATCTGCCCTTAAATGTCTAACCACCCTTTCGGTGAAGAAATTCTTCGTGATGACCAACCTAAACCTCTCCTGGTGCAGCCTGAGACTGTGTCCTCTTGTCCTATCCATTGTTGCCTGGAAGAAGAGACCGACCCCCACCTGGCTGCACCCTCCTTTCAGGTAGTTGTAGAATATTTAGGGCCCCCTTAAGCCTCCTTTTATCCAGCCTAAACACGGCCAGCTCCCTCCGCCGCTCCTCACAGGACTTGTGTTCCAGACCCTTCACCAGCCCCGCTGCCCTTCTGCGGACCCGAAAGCACTCGAAAACAACGCAAAGGTGATTAAACTGATTCACAGTAGTGCTGAAACAGGATCTTTTCAGATAACTATAGAGAACACAGCTGCTTTGCGGTGAGCTGGTGGTTTATATTCCTGGGCACCCCCAGACCTGGGCACAGGCATAGCCCAGCCCGTGCCAGCGCTTCTCCGGGCGGAGCCGCCGCGCCATCACCCCCCCCCCCCCCCCCCCCCCCCCCCCCCCCCCCGCCCCGAACCTCTCCCCAGCTCCAGTGGTTCCGCCCCGCCTCGGGAATCCTGCCGCTCCCCGCCTCAGCCCCCGGAGCACCGCGCGGGCCCCACTCACATTTTCTTGGCCACATCGGTCTCTCTGAACTGCTCCTTCACCATCGCGGCGGCGGCGCCGGGACCCGCCGGGCCCACGGGGCTGCACGCGCCGGGCGGGCCGGGCGGCGCGGCCTCCGCGCGCAGCGCCCCCTGGCGGCCCCAGCGGGACCCGCCGCGCTCGGGGCTCCGGGAGCGGAGCGGGCACGGGATGGGCAGGATTGGGAGAATCACGGTGGGGCCACGGGGTCACACCGTCTCGCCCTTCAAGAACGGTCACTCCTTGCACATGGCACAGGGTTGTGTCCAGCGTTGGACATCTCCAGTGAGGGAGACTCCACACCTTCTCTGGGTGATCTGTTCCAGTGCACGATCACTGCACAGTAAAGAAGTTGCTCCTCGTGCTCAGGTGGAGCTTCCCGTGCAGGAGTTTCTGCCCGTTGCCTCTTGTCCTATTGCTCAGCACCACCAAGAAGGGCCTGGTCCATCCCCTGACAACCCCCCTTTAGATACTTATACAAATGGGCGAAGTCCCCTCTCAGTCGCCTCTTCTCGAGGCTGAACAGTTCCAGCTCCCTCAGCCTTAAACAACTCCACAGCCACACTCAGTCCATGGCTCCGGCTCAGCCCGTGACTTTGTGCGTGGCGCCCCAGCAGCAGCCCCAGGACAGGCTGCACAAAGGCAAAGCCAGAGCCGCGGCAGCGCCAGCACGTGGCGGGAGAACTAAACTGAACTGGGCTCAGCCAAGCCAGGAAGGTCCGGGCCGAGCTCATCCCTCCGCCCCAGCGTCCACCAGGCACACGGAAGGCACCCCTACCACGCCCGGCTCTGAAGAAGACACCCTCACGCCAGGCCCCGCCCCGTGGGAAGGCCCCCGCGCTGCCTTATGATTGGCCGGGAGGCGGTGCTGGCCCTTTCCCCGCCGTGTCGCCGCCGCCGCCGTCGCCGCCATGGTGAGTGCGCGGTCCTTTCCCCGCTATCCGCCCTGCGCTGCCGCCATCCTGGCCCCGCCGCGCCCCTGCGCCGCCGCGCCCCGTCGGGCTGGCCCGCCTGCACCCGCCCGTGCGAGTATGGCGCGCACCGAGCCTTCGCTCTGGCGGCCGGGCTGCCGTGTATCTGTGTCCGCTGGTAGCAGCGGGGCTCGGGCCGGGCCGGGTGCGGCCCCGGGCTCTGATAGCGCGGTAACGCTGGGCTGCTGCTCGGGAGTTATCAGGGAGCTGCCGTAGGTCAGAGTCGTGTGTGTTTCGTGGCTGCCTGTGTCTGAAGGCGTTAAGGGAACAGACGCGTGTGGGGTTTTTTTAGAGAAATTTATGCTTTGCGTTAAGAAGAGCATTGGCGGCAGGTTGAGGGAGGTGATCCTGCTCCTCTGCGCAGCCCTGGAGAGGCCACATCTGGAGTGCTCTGTCCAAATCTGGGCACCTTAGTTCAAGAGAGGCATGGAGCTCCTGCAGCAGATCCAGGGGAGGGCAAGAAAGAAGGGTCTGGAGCATCTCTTTTATGAGGACAGACTGAGGGAGCTGGGCCGTTTCAGCCTCGAGAAGAGGCGTCTTAGAGGGGACCCCGTCAATGTCTGTCAGTATCAGAAGGGAGGGTACCAAGAGGATGGATCCAGGCTCTGCACGGTGGTGCTGAGCAGTAGGACAAGAGGCAATGGGCATAAACTGCTGCACAGGAAGTTCCACCTGGACATGAGGAAGAACTTCTTTGCTGTGTGAGCAACTGGAACAGGTTGCCCAGAGAAGGTGTGGATTCTCCCTCACTGGAGATATTCAAGAACTGTCTGGACCCAGCCATATTACCCTCTGTAGTCCCTCCCCACCTGACCCATTCTGTAACAGTTAAGAAGCTGTAAAGCCTAAAAGCTGAGTGGGCTCCTGTGTGTCTCCAGCACCAACAGCTGGGTGGCAGCGGAGCCAAACGAGTGTTGGTAATGACAGCCAAGGATTGCTGTGGCTGGGGAGAGGGGCCACATGGAGGTAGGGCAGCACTTTTCCAGGAACAGGCATCCTTGTTCTGGCTCCTGGACATGAACAGAGCACAGTGCAAGTGAAGGAATGAGGCCAGGAAATGGGCATGGACTGTTGGGGGGGAATCAAAGTCTTCCCACTTATTTCCGGAAAGGTCTAGAGGAATGGACTGTACATGATAACTAAGTGACATAGAAAGGGAGAAACTTATCTATAAAAGGTTACCCAGGAAGCTCAGATTGATGCTGGAACCAGGATTGGTGATCCCTTTCTCCCATTCTGTTCTCACTCTCTTCCCTTTCGGCGTATCCCTTTATCCAAAACCCACTGCTGTGTCTTTACACTGGGAGGCCAAGGTCTAACATACCCATTTCCATGCTAAGTGTGGAATTTGCTAATAAAACTTTGTAAGCTTTTATAGACCCTCTGACCTTTGTCATTCCTTTCAGCCACAAGCATCTAGGAGTCTTCCATGCTCCTTCCCGTTAAGGGTAGGACACCACAGAGGTTGTAACATTTGAACTTCCTAAGGAAACTTCTGTTACATTGTTCCAATGCTTGGGCCATAATCTGTGTGTTTCACTAAAAGCTGTTTCACCTTCTCAGAATGGTGAAAGTGTGTGTTGCTGTAATGTTTGAAAACTGGGGATGAGTTTGTCAGTTTTTCACTGTCCTTACAGGTGTTTTCTGTAGCCCAGACCAGTCTACTTAGGTCATGAGTTCACTGTCAGTGTCTGAGGCTCCTGACTGTTACTGTAGTGTGCATTTTTACGTATTTATTAAATTTCAGTTGTATGTGTAGCTATTGTTTTGTTTTCTCTTGCAGAATGACACAGTGACCATCAGAACCAGGAAGTTCATGACAAACAGGCTGCTGCAGCGCAAGCAGATGGTAAAAGAATACAGAAATTTACCTTTAATTGTTTGTCTGTTGGCTCAGGGCTGCAGGTGGTTTTCAGCCGCTCTCAGTACAGGGCCCTTGAAATCTCCAAAGTTCTTATTGTAAAAGCTTATGGCTTTAGATGTGTTGATGTATGCTGAAGGTAAATGCTGATGGTGAGGTAGCAAACTCTTCTGTCGTTTGAAGTTGCACCAGGGGAGGTTTAGATTGGATATTGGGGAAAAATTCTACACCAAAAGGATTATTAGGCATTGGAACAGGCTGCCCAGGGAAGGGGTTAAGTCATCACCCCTGGAGATATTAAAAAGACATGTAGACTGGAGGACATGGTTTAGTACCATTGAGAGACTTGACAGTGTTGAATTTACTGGTGGATTAAATGATCTTAAAGGTGATTTCGAATTTGAATGACTGAAGCAGGAAACTTTTGACTGCTTTTATATCAAACTGAATAATAAATACTTTGTGCTGCTAAGGTAGGTTAGTTTAAGTCTTAAGTTCCTGGTGGGACTGTAGCACCTGGCTGTTGTACTGGATATTGACCTCTTATACAACTTGTCAAAATTCTTTCTTAGGTGATCGATGTGCTTCATCCTGGGAAGGCCACAGTCCCCAAAACAGAAATCAGGGAAAAGCTGGCAAAAATGTACAAGACAACCCCTGATGTAATTTTCGTCTTTGGCTTCAGAACTCACTTTGGTGGTGGCAAGACAACCGGTTTTGGCATGATCTACGATTCCTTGGACTATGCAAAGAAAAATGAACCAAAGCACAGGCTTGCCAGGGTATGTTGTCTTCTAGTATCTTGGAAGCAGTTAGGATAGATTAGAAGCGTTTAATTACTCAGTATTTATATGTATAAAACCCCACGTTTTGTGAAAGTACTGTTGGTATACTCAGTCATATGAGACATCTTAAAATAATACAGGTTAGCCTCTGCACTTGCAAAAGAGGCTAAGTTTTTCTTACTCTGCATTACAGGAGAATTGGAAAGGCAAAACCTGTTACCAGAGATGTTTAGCAATAATAGATAATAAATGACTTTTAAAGGTTTGGAAGAAGCATAAGAGATGGGGCTGATCCATGTGCTACTTAAGTGTTTATGGTCTGTGTTGAATCATTTATTGGTTAATGAACTTGCTGTTTAGTTAATATTTCAAATTCAAACTGTATATGAAGAGTTGAGAAGTAATAAAAATTAAATTGAGAGTTGGTAACTGAGAAACAATATCAAATACTATTTTAACTTTTTTAATAGCATGGCTTGTATGAAAAGAAGAAGACTTCCAGGAAGCAGCGAAAGGAGCGTAAGAACAGAATGAAGAAAGTCAGGGGCACAGCCAAGGCAAATGTTGGTGCTGGCAAGAAGGTAGGATGAGAATATGTTTAAGCTAGAGTGAGCATTTGCCTTTGGAATGTTGATTAGATTCTTCAACAGAGTAATGCTGTTTTTCTTCCATTTTTTCACCTGTTCTACTGGATAACAGAAGGTAATCTGTGTGTTGTATAGCTTGTCATCAGCTCTGTAGCGTAGTTTTGCTCCTCACTGCTGCAAGCTTAGCTGATACAACATGAAAGAATGCTTCTTAAATTACTGTTTCCTACGTGTCACTTGAACTAAAGTTACACTTTCCTAAATCTAATAGTATTGCTCTAATCACATAACTCAGTCTCGCAATACACACATTAGATAATCTTAACACTTGTTGCTTAGACTGCCTAAGTACCTAATGCTTACTCCACCAAGTTACTGTTACTTATGGTGTTATTTATCAAGGTGAGTTTGTTAAGGATATTGTAGGCAATGACAACAGAGTGTAAATAGAAAAAAGTACAATGCCTGTTTTATCCTGGGTTTAAGTGACTGATTCCGAAGATAGTAGAGTCTTCCTGTGGTGGGAGCTTCCTGGGCTGAGGCTGGAACCTGATACCAGCAGCTAGGAGGGAGGCAGAGTTCCTCTGTTATGAAACAAAACCACAACTGAGGAATAGCCTGGGTGGGAAGCCAGTCATCTTCCTTCCTGGTGTTTTGTCCTTTGACAAATGCAGAATAAGCTGTGCAGCCAAGTGGATTTTCTTCAGGTGTTTTAATAAGGGGAGGGAGAGTAGTGGGTTTCAATGCTTAGTTCTGTAGTTGAGAAAATGCCTTGACATCTTGTACTTTAGTAATCTTCACTTTTGCTTTTTTTCTACTTTCTTGGAATTCTCCATCAGAAATGAAGTATCTACAGGTACTGGAAATGAGCATGGATGTGGTGACTGAATTATGCATCACTGAAATGTGTCCATCCTTTCAATTAAAGCACTGTACTGCCTTGCATGCATGTTTGATTTAAACTTATATCTGTCCTGTGAGGGTTAAATAATAACATAATGCACTTTATTCCATGTGAATTAGAAATAAAATTTGACCAGTAGCAAACAACACTTTTGAAACCAGTGAGTCAGCTTTAAAATGAGGAACTCAGTGAGAAGAAATCCAAGAAACTCAATACTCTAATTTGAGGCATTGGTTCAGAACACCCCAGCATCTGATTCAAAGTAGTACAGTGCAATTGCATGTGTAACTTGACTGTTGTGTGTAAGTAGTTGTGTACATGAAAGCTGAGTCACATCACACCTTAGTGCATTTGAGATGCTGTTTGGAAATAAAGGCACAGTTGTCTGCCTTAAACTATATTTAACTATTGTCCTGCAGTATTCCAAACTAAGACACAAATTAAAGCGAAATTGGAAATTTCAGTGAAATTAAATTTTTTAGTTAGTATGGAAGTCAAATTCTTGCTATCACTGGATGGAAATGGACCAGTGTAACTGACAATTACTAGATGAGGGAACTATTCTACTAGATAGGTTTTGAGCCTTCTTCCTTTCTGCTTTAATGCTGTTTTAATCATGAAGTCCTACAGTTGTTTATGGCACAAAAATAGCATTTGGTATAGTAGTGACACATAACATACACCCTTTTGTCAATGGCAAGGGAGTCATTTAATGTTGCACTGATCCCAGTAGTATGGATGAACTTCCCATCAAGACTTTTGCACGTGAAAGTACCTGTTATTGAGTGTTAATGCAAAATGGTTAAATTACTGTCACTTGAATTATTAAAGCTGTCCAGTTCAGAGAAATCCTCTTAAAGCATATCAGCACTTCACAAATTTAGGGCCAGGATCATGTTCTGTGGTAATTATGTAGAAGATGTGACTTCTGTATCAAGTGCTTCTCAAACCAGCATGCAATCTTAGTAGGAGGTAAACTGTGATTTTCATTATTGATATCTTTTTAAATTGTCATTCAATTGATAAGTATGCATGGGTTAGATGTTACTTGTTTACCACCTTTGTTAATCTTTGTGTCCTCACTTAGGATAAATTATTTTGTGTGCATTCTGGAAAACTTGCTTGATAAGAGTTTTGTGCTGCATTACAGAAAAATGTAAAATACACTGGTGTCTTTAAAATTTATCTTGAAAAATGCATGTTTAAAGCTAATGATGTGATATGGTTCATCATCCTTTATCACAGCTATGCAGAGGAATTTTTAATAGGAGTCCTGGAATATGTTTTTGAGTCCACCTATACAGTCTGTGAGAACTATTTATCTCAGAAATGTGTAGGCACTTGATTCTGAAAAATCTTCAGCCAAGTGTATATTATTCTAAAAGTTATGTACCATCTAGTCATGAAAATTACAGAAATGGTGAATCATACTTGAATAATTTTTTTTGAACTTAAGGTCATATATAACTGTGCCAATGTCTGGTTGTTTTCTTTGGTACTTCCCTCTCACCCCATTAGAATTCCCATTCTCTTTTCCCTGCAGTTTGAAGAGAAGTATTTTAAAGTGCTGTGTGTTATTTAATGTAACTGTAGCTCTAGACTTTGCTGAGCTTGCTAAAAATTTGCAACAAGTATATGTGGATGTCCTTCGCCTAGTCTTTGCTTTCAGAGCAGTGACCATATACCATGCAACACTGAAATGTAAAAAAAAAAGGCCCACCCTCCCTTTTAATGTCACAGCTGTACCTGTGACAGCCCTTGACATGTGAGGCTTTTCTGAAAAAAAAGAGAGGCACTTTAAGGCATTGTAGCCTGTAGGCATAATTGAACATGCAATTGTATTCTGAATATTAGTTAAGCTCTGAACAACTATTGTTAGGTCTCCTTTTGAGTTTGAGAGAATGTGTGAAATTTAAGTCTTCAGTCTCTACAGTAGTCAAAATTTTGAAGTTTTCCTAGCACATTTCCATGTGATTATTGAAAAAAGCGTATTTTGAGTGTCAGTAAAAGTCTTCAGGGCTCCATCTTCTACAGTAGTAGAACTTAGATAAAAATATTCTTAATATTAATTAATGCTTTCTCTTTTTCAGTAATTGAACATTCCTCAGATGGAAAATGGATCACAGGTATGATTTGAGAATGCTTTGTAAATGTAGACATTCAGCAGTCCAGTCATGATGATGATGTAGTCTAACACTGATTTTTGCAAAGACTGTGGTACTTGTGCAGATGTAGAAACAAATGCAAGAGTTTAAGACTAGGAAAGAATATTTACAAATTTCTTTAGTAAATTACTGCTATCAATTACTACTGAATTGATAGCTTATGTGACTTTGACTTACATGAAATACCTGATTACTATAAAGACTGAAATGAGAAATTGGGCAGTTCACATTTACTGTTCCTAAAGCTGCTGATTATTTAGTCTAACTGTAAGCAAGGCTTACATTTTTCACTTGTAGGTATGCTAAAGAGAGGATAGTAGACCTTGTTTTTTATTGTCTTAAATAGATTAAAGTAGTATGATAACTATTTTCAGAACAGATTTCTGTTGTTTTCTTACACTTATTTCAAGTAAATTCCTTATTAACAAGCGTGATACCCTTACAGATAAGTCTCTGTATTTTTGTTGCAGAAACCTAAGTGCTGTGTTCAGTAAGTGTTCAGGAAAAAGTGGTTTTATTACAAATGGTCTGTCTGGGAGCTGATACAGCTTGTCTAGTGTCTTAAACAGAAAGCTGTCAAAGCACCTGTAGCTTGTGGAGCTCTTCTACAGGGATGCTGTAATCTAGGCTCTGATTTATTCCCATGACGGTGCTGTGAAATTTTGAACTTTATGCTCTTAAAAGAAGAGTAGTGTGGTTCACCTGACTTGTTTAGGAACCAGTTTTTCAGGCTTTATAAATGTATGAGTGCAAAAATTGTTTTAATTTTGTGGTAGTAATGTATTTTTTTCCTTTACAGTCTGCATCCTTCTATGAAGAAGTACAGAAGGAGTTATTCTGGAAAGCAGAACCTGTTCATCTGACTTTAACATCAAATAAACTGTGTCAATAAAATGCTGATTTGTCCTATAGTTTTGATTTGAAAGCTACTTTTTGTAAAGTTTGAGAAATTCAGCAAAGGTGCACTGTTTGCACTGTATTAAAACCTTTTCATAATTAAACACCTCTTGTTTTGACTATCAATTTGAAATGCTTTCTACTGGTAGTAGTATGAACTAATTCCAAGCAGGCAGTGTTATTTCATGGATATAGACAGGCTTTTGTCATCTGTTGTTCAAACTGTGGTTTGGAAAGTCCTTTTAAGATGTTCTTGTTTGGCTGCCTGATTTCTATAGACCTGTAGAATACAGCGTAAGGGAGAACAAAACGTGTACACAGAGATACTCAGAGCTGCCTGCTTCCACAGTTAGTGATTTTTGGTTGGGAAGGAGTTGGGCATGATTTGTCTTTTGTTCCCAAGTTGTCAGGACAGGCTGTGGGGTCTGTCTCTGGCCTGCCAACTGTGTAGTACACCCCTAATTTTTCATCTGGTAGTGTTAAAGGAGCCATTTAAGATGGAAGCGAGGGCATTCTGGTGCAGGTGTTTTGAGGAGCAAGCAAAATACAAGTTTTATACTCTTAATAGGACTGAAACAGATTGCAGCTGTAGCAGCTGTGCTGATTATGGTTCTGATTTTATTATCTAAGTACAGTATTTTTGAATTGTGCTACCATTGTACTTAGACAGCACTTTGTAACGCAGGAAAGGCATTTTTACATTTGTTTGGGGGAGGAAACCAACAGTACCGTAGTTAGGAGTTGTTAAAAGTGGTTGAAAGGGGATATTGTGCAAGATCTGCTAAGTATAGATGAAGCACTTAATACCTTTTCTAGTACCTTCAGTCTGAGTCTCGAACTAGTGGGGTTACTGTTACTGTTGTCTGTATTCAGCAGCATCACACTATTAGCTGTACCATAAATTCTCTGTACCTCATGCTGTAGTTTTTTTGCCTTTATTGATGTTATTAACTGGGAGTAATAGGCACTTGGTCTGGTGAAAGGGCTCTCCAGTTTCTTAAAGCCACAGGTGAACTAGTGATAATAGACTAAGGGGGTGGCGAAACATACTGGTCGATTCTAAAATGGATTTGATTTTAAGGTCCTGTGGAAGTTAAAAGGCTTTTGTCAGGCAGGGCTTCAAAGATACCTATTGGATGTTCTTCCTAAAGATGTGTTCTGAATGTATGTTCAGTGCAAGTAGCTCGGTGTGCAGCAGCAGTGGGAGCTGCAGGATGAGCTCTTGGTGGGAACCTGAGACAAGAGGCCGTGAACTGCCAAACCTTGGAGGGGCACAAAGACACTCAGGGTGGCAGGAGTCGAGGAGTCACGTGCTTAGACTGTGAAGGGGTAAAAGCCCAGGAGTTCCTTAGTTTGGGGTCCCTCCTCAGAGGTAGCAGTTGGAGCTTTTTGTGTGTTACTGTGCCATGAATAAGTGGCTTTATGGAATGAGACTTCTGAGACTCTGCTATGGGAAACCTGGTCTGACTGTGAGTGGGAGTGTGGGGACCACAGTTGTGGAGGGGCTGCCCCTGGTGCCAGCAGTGAGAGTCTCTGGCGTTGGGAGTCTCATGAATGGAGACTGCCAGAGAGTCTCATGAATGGTCAGACTGGAAAGTTCTCTTGACAAAAGAATTGCTAGAGGGATATTAAAAGTGGGATGTGTGTACTTTGATACAGTACGTGCACTGTACTCTAGAGTCTCTTGAGTTGGTGAGTAAACCTCAGACAACTGAAAATACTGTAAGGGATATGGAGCAAATGTTATGAACATAAGTCTTAGAATCTAAACCTGTTTCAAGGGTAGTATCTGCAGTAAGCCCTTTACATATATAAAAAGGAAGAAGAGTCATGCTATTTAATGTAATTGAACAATCACTAGGGGGTGATGTGAACACAGCAATACAAATACAAGGAAGAGTTATATCATAGAATAGACTGAAAGGAGGTCAAATTATCACCTGCCAAAGATGTCAACTCCTTTGAAAATATGCATTAAAAATAGTTGTGTTTAGAAGCTGAGGCTTTAAGTCATGTTCTTGTTTCACTCTTGTTTTGGATTCAGTGGAAACCACCAGTTTCAGTGAAGACCATACAGTTAGTGTTTTCCAGATGTTTACGACTTGAAAGCTGTAGAGTGCTGGCACAAATCCTAGCTGGTTTTTTCAAAAACCTTCTTATCTTAGTTTTGTGCAGTCAACAAAGGATCTATAAATAAGTGCTCTCATAGGGGTATGTGTCTTGTGTAGCCTTGATGTTCTGAGTTTATACAGTAAACAGTACTGTTCCAGGGGCATCTACCTCTAGCAGAAATTAATTCTGGAGTTGCTGTATTAAAAGTTCCCTTCTTCAGTTTTGTAATGTCTTACATTCTACTTATTACAGGTTTATGTGGTACAGTAACTTGCCAAAGGAGTTGAACTGAAATAGATATTACTTGGTGCCATAAGTTGGTATTTGATGCCCCATTTTTTTTGAAGATTGATAGCAAAAGACACATAGTGAATCAATAAAACAATTGACTCTTGTTGGATGGTTAGGTTATAACCACATATCCATAAGCTGTACTCTGCTCTTGCAATATGAACCATTAAGCACAAAAAAAAGGGGAGGGGGTCAAAATGACATAGATCTAGAGCTAACTGAACAAATCAGATCAGCCTGTTGGAGTTTTTCCACTATTCTGCAACATTCTGTGTTGATGTGGCTATCCTTTCTCCTGTCATTCTGCTTGGAACAGAGCAATCAAATGAATGACTGTCATCTGAAATCTTGGTGCTTCAGTGGTTGGGAGTTGTGAGCAGCTCTTCGTGTGAGTATCTGTTCTGCCAACGTTTTGCCCATATGCATTCCAGTCTAAGCAATGTGTAGCAGGTGTTCTGTAATTCAGAGGTTTAATGCACACGCTGTGCTGTGCAGACTCTAGGTTAATCCCCTTTCCTGTGGGAGGTGAAACAATTAAGTGGAACTGGAATCTGTGCTTCTTTCCCTACTGCGTGCTGAAGGAACTCTTTTATTTTCTGCCAATCTTGGCACATCCCATCATCTATAGGTAGTAGTTTTGTCACTGTTGCCTGCTTTCAGACTTTGGCCTGGCCCTCCTATTTCAATATCTCAAGCGTTTTATCAGTCTGGAGTTCAGATTAGTCTCTGAAGGCATTTTGGAGACCAGTTTATTAAGCTGGTGGTGAGCAATCTCAAACTGATACACGTGGAAAGACTTATTAACCACCATTTATAATGGCCTGGACTTGGTGGAGTTGCATGCACAGAAAATGTTTGGGGTTTTCCGTAGGAAGGACTTAAAACTGTATAGCCAGTCTAGTAAGAATAAATTAAATCTTTGTGTAAAACACTTTGAAAGCTGTGCAGAAGCCTAAGGGCTTGTCTTAAATGAAACCATATCCAGTGGTCCAGCTTCTTGCTGAAGTTCCATTCCTATGTTCAGTGAGATAAATACGGCACAGCCAGACAATGGTGTCTGAAGGAGGTTGTTGTACTGAAGGCAAAAGACAAACCACAGCATATCAGAGAAGGACTTAACAGAGTCTGTTTGGAGGAGCCAAGAGTGTCTTGGCTTCATAGAAAAAGATAACTGTGATAAAGATGAAAGATAGTAAAATTTGACATCACCTGTGCACAATGAGGTGGGTTGGTCTAGGGACCGGCTTGTAACAGGTTTGAGAACAAATCTTGAGGGGAAGAAATGAGGCTAATATTGTCAGTGTCTCAAAATAAATGAGGTATAGTATGCTATGTGACGTAGTTCTTTCTATTGATAGTAAAAGTGTCGTTTAAGGACTAAAGTATTTAGATCACTATCAACTGTTTGCAACAGTCAGATGAAATTAACTTGTTCATATTATTCTGGTCAGTTGCTGTAAAAAATGAATTTTTAATGTCAGTGGTATCCTACACAGAGGAAATAGAACATTGTCCTGTAGCAGCTGTTGATACTAGATGCATACAGTAAGTTTGAAATTCCAATTGTGAATGCTCCCTGTTGATTTGCTTCTATTTGAGCAAAACAAGGTTGATTGAGCCTTTCTTGGGTGGTTATTTTGGTGGTTATACTGCTAAGAGATAAGAGTAGTTAATTTTTTTTTTTTTTTGCTATGAATTCTGGCAAAATTTCATCTGAGCAGGTGAATTCTCCAGTATAGGTGGCAAACATTTCTTTTGTTCATCATATTCCCAATACAATAGCAATAAGACCAAGTTATTTCTATGAATGCATTTTTTACAATACCTCTAAGACGTAAAATAAAAAGGTTTAAGTAACCTTTGATAAATCCATGTCAGGAGCAGGCACATCCAAGTGCATTAATGCCTCTGGACTCCCTCATTTTAAAAGAATTAAATGGAAACTTAGGTTTGTTGTTAATATTTTTTAACTCTAGTTGTGTCTTAAAAATGTTCCCTGTGGAATTTTATCCTCATTTCAAATTCAATAAGTTTCCTCATAATTTTGGTCTTAGCTCTCTGTAAAGGCTGTGGCTAATGGAACATCTGCAAAAGTGGCTAAAAGACACATCATGTGCTAGAAGGTAACTGTATTTTCCAACAGCTGGCCATCGGCAACCAATACTACTAATAAAGCTCCATCTTCCTTTCAAGTTACTGCTGTTCATACACAGAGATCTTAAATAAGCTCAAATAGTGTGCTGAGGCAGAAGGAGATTCAGAGCATCTGTGCCTTCTCTTAACATAGTAGCTCTTACACAATCAGCAAAAATCCTGTGAGCGCAATGCTTCACTGAGGTAGATGATAACAGTTTGTACTTGTGTTCATTGGGTTAAAATGCAGCTTGTTATTTAATGAAGCTGGCCAGACTGCAAACTGACCCCCATTAGGAGAAACATGCTTCACTGCCTTTCATGATGATCTGATTTGATTGTACTGGAGCTGCTACCCTGCTATCATTTTCTGTCAATTTTTGCTAGCCTGTTTGTTAAGCCAGGCATCATTTGTGTTGATTTGATAACAGGTTTCAATCACTGATAATAAAACTTTTCTGTGACAAATGACCTCAGATCCATATCTCTTGCACGGTTTTGGCTGTAAGTAGAAAATTGGGACTGACACTTTCCTTTTTCAGTGTCTTCTGTCTGGTTTAACAGCCAA